CCTGACGCGGGCAGCGCAGCAGCAGCAGCAGTTGCTGCAGCAGCAGCTGCTGCTGCTGCAGCAGCAGGACGAGGACTTCCTCGGCGACGCAGAGCAGCAGCTGGAAGAGACCCCATGGGGCCCCCCCCTGCAGGGGCCCCCCGGGGCCCCACAGGACCCCTTTTGGGCCCCTTGGGGGGCCCCCCAGCAGCTGGAAATGGGTACTGGGAAGCAGCAAACTGGTAAGCTTCAGGGCGGCCCCCCTGGTGTCCCGTCCAAGGCCGAAGGCGCCAGCAGCAGCAATGCATCTGCAGCAGCAGCAGCAGCAGCAGCAGCAGAAGGTGCTGCAGCAGTAATGATGGCAGCAAAGGAGAGCGAGAGGGATGGTGCAGCAGCAGCAGCAGCAACTGCTAATGCAGCTGCAGCAGCAGAAGTCGAAACTGATGGCGCAGCAGCACAAGCAGCAGCAGCAGCAGCAGCAGTGGAAACTAATGGTGCAGCAGCAGCACCAGAAATGACAGAAGTCGATGGTGCAGCAGCAGCAGCAGCAGCAAAAGAAGCCGATGCAGCAGAAGAAGTGTCAAAAAAAGAAGGTGCCACAGCAGCGGCAGCAGCAGCAGAAGATAGTGCAGCAAAAAAAGATGAATCTGAAGACAGCGAGATGTCAGCAGCAGCATACAAAATTGCAGCAGCTGCAGCAGCAGCAACAGCAGCAGCTGATAAAAGTGCAGCGGCACCAGAAGCAGCAAAAAGGATCGTAGTAGTAGCAGCAGCAAAAGAACGTGCAGCAGCAGCAGCAGCAAATGAGAGTTCAGCAGCAGCCGCAGAGAGAGATGGCGCAGCAGCAGAAAACTTAGCTGCAGCAAACGGCAAGGCCACTACTGCAGCGTCAAAAGGCTCTAGTGCAGCAGCAGCAGCAGCAGCAGCAGCAGCAGCAGATAGCAGCTCGTCCTCAGATGATAGTGCTGCAACAACAGATGAAAGCTCTTCAGAAGAAGACACAACAACAACAACTGAAGACAGCACATCTTCAGAAGATAGTGCAGCAGCAGCAGCAGCAGAGTTCAGTACAGCAGCAGCAAAAATTGCTCCAGCAGCAGCAGATAGTAATGCATGGGAAGAGATACTGTTTCGTGCAGCAACACAGCAGAAACCAGCAGCAGCAGCGCAGGATAAAGCAGCAGCAGCAGCACGAGACAATGCAAGAGCAGCAGCACAAGACAAAGCAGCAGCAGCAGTAGCTGCAGCAGAAGATAATGCAGCAGCCACAGAAGGCACAACAGCATCATTAGAAGAAGGTGATGCAGCAGCAGCAGCAGCAGAAAACAGGAAAGCAGCAGCAGAGTCGGAAGGCAGCACAGCAGCAGCTGCTGTTGCTGCTGCCGCTGCTGCAGAAGATCGTGCAGCAGCAGCCGAAAACAGTGCAGCAGCAGAAGACAGTGCAGCAGCCGACGATGGTGCAGCAGCAGAAGACAGTGCAGCAGCAGCAGAAGACAGTGCAGCAGCAGAGGACAGTGCAGCAGCAGCTTCTGAAGATAGTGCAGCAGCAGCTTCTGAAGACAGTGCAGCAGCAGCAGATGACAGCGAGGACAGCGCGTCGCTGCAGGCTGAGATAGATGAGGCTTTTAGTGCAGCAGCAGCAGCAGCAGCAGAAGCAGCAGCAGCAGCAGATGTAGAGCCCACTGTGGCTTCTGCTGCAGCAGCAGCATGGGATCTTAAGAGGACAGCTGCTGCTGCTAGGCGCGCAGAAGAGGCCGTAAAAGCAGCAAGAGTTGCTGCAGCAGCAGCAAGGGGCATCTCGCGTAAGCTCCAAACCCTAAACCCTAAACCCTAAACCCTAAGCCCTTTGGGGCCCCTGCACATTGCAGCAAAGGCAGCAAGCAAGACACGCACAGTAGCCATGCCTCGAGGGTCTAGGGTTACTGTAGAGGCTTTAGAGCTTAGGGTTTAGGGTTTAGCGTTTAGGGTTTAGGGTTTGGGGTTTAGGGTTTAGGGTTTGCGGGTGCGCAGTGCGGCCAACCCCCGAGTCAGCAGCAGACACAAGCGAGGGGCCCCTCAGGAAGTGGGAAGATTCAGATTCCCTTTCAGAAGAAACAACAGAGTCTGAAGAGGGTCTTTCTGCGGACTTTGTACCCTTGGGGGGCCCCCAGGGGGCCCCCTGGGGGGCCCCCCAGCGGGCCTCCCTGGAGGCCTCCCTGCGGGCAG